TTTTCTCGCAGCTGACGTGTGCACGAAGGGCGTTAGTCTGAATTTTTTTGCAAACCAAAAGGGCAGTATAAATAGACGGAATATTTGATTATCTCACTTTCGGGGCCAGGAGGGCTATATACAGCACTTAAAAGGAACATTTTATTTTGAATCCAGTGGGAGAATATGTTAGGACACATGGTTAGTAATATTTTGGGGAAATATATCGAGAAACAGGGCACTTTCTTGTGCATAATACATACATATATACAGTTTTTTCAATGGGTGGCACTGTAGCTCTACGGTCTGAAATTATATTTTTTTTTTCGGAGAGCTACAGTTTTGCAGCTAATTTTTACCGAAAGACGTTCATTAGAAAGAAAAATGTGCATATTACTAAGTGACCACTGCACCTGCTTTTGGTTTTAATAATTGTTCCTTTCAGATTTTTTTTACGTTCATTTCACAGAAGACATGGGAATACTTTTAACAGCAAATGTACAGCAAAAAGACAAAAATAGAAATAGATTTTAAAATTAAAAAATTCAGAAAATAAAAACATTAATAAAATTTATAAAATATTTGTTTTCCTTTCTTCCAATATCTACCTATTTCCTATCTTCTTATCTGCGATTTAGATGGTTTAGGGTCTACTAAGCGACATGGAATCAAATTAGTATTGATCCTCAGTACATATCACTTTTCTAAAGTGCGATGAATATCTGATTATACGAGGTATATCTGTTTTTGTCGATGTCATTAGCAAGGTGATTACATTCTAATCACATACAAGTCCATCACTTGCAAAACAACATAATTAAGATCTTCCGCTCAGGCAGAAGACCTTCTACTGATTCTGATCGTTAAGATTATTCCCTATTATTTATTTTTTTTTCTTAGACGCCAACTTTGAGACCTCGTAACTCGGACGTTTGGACGTTACAAATCTCAATTAAAATGTTATCATACATTTCAAAAATTCCCTTCCGCTTTCGAGTTATTTCCCTTTAAATGAAAATTTGGTACTGTTCGGTTCAAGACAAAGGCTGAGAAACGACAAAAGCTGGAGCAGAAATACTACTGCATTTAAATACTAGAAGAATTGAAGTTGTGCACATCGGTTTTTCCCTTTCGATTTCTGCGCTCAAAACGGTGCTAGATAGGGGTCATAAATGAGAATGCCTAAAAGCGCGAAAAATTACATATATTTCCTTATGATTCTTTTAAACGAAAAATAATTTGTTAAGACATGTTTCATAAATATTGTGCATAATTTTAAGATCTGTCATTTGACATCATTAGCGAGAGGCCCAGGGGCCTTGAATCGCTCTTCTGATAAATTGTACAATCTATCACTTCTATTAGAAGCCTCCAACTCTATAGTATTATAAGACCGAAAATGCATCAACTTATAAAGTTTGATATTTAGCCAGTTAAGACATTTTATAATTATAAAATACCATAAGTAGGTCACAGTGACCTACCTTTTGATTGAAATTTTCTGAGATACATTAATTGCAGAGACAGATGATTCCAATTAAATAAGTACCTGAGATATTCAAAAGTAGGTCACCATAACCTACTTTTTGGTCAACATTCTTTGAAAACCCAAGAAGCATCTTCTGACAAAGTCTGACGATTCTGAGCCAATTAGTACCAGAGATGATTAAATATACCCATCAAATGTCAAAAGTAGCTAACGGTGGCCTACTATTGACATTTTATGGCTATTTTTGGTCGACGTTATCCAAAAACCCAAGATGCCTAAACTGACAAATTTGACGATTCTAAACCAATAAGCAACTTCTTGTTGGACATTCAATGAAACCCTAAGATGCCTCAACTGACAAAGTTTAATGATTCCGAGCCAATAGGTACCAGATATATTGACCAGATATATTGATATATAATTAAATATAGCCATAAAATGTCAAACGTAGGTCACAGTGACCTACTTTTTGGTCGACGTTCTCCGAAAATCCAATTCAAGGTGCCTAAACTGACAAAGTTTGATGATTCTAAGCCTAAATGTACCTGAGATATTCAAAAGTAGGTCACCGTGACCTACTTTTTGGTCGACATTCTCCAAAAACCCAAGATACCTCAACTGACAAAATTTGATGATTCTTAGCCAATAAATGCCTGAGATACTTAAATATAGCCATAAAATGTCAAAAGTAGGTCACTGTGACCTACTTTTTGGCTGACAATCTCTGAAAACCCAAGCTGCATTTTAGGTCAATAAGTACCAGAGATACTTAAATAAAGCCACAGAATGTCAAAAGTAGCATTCCTATGTCAATACGATATATCCCTGTGAGCTTGAGATAAAATATACCGCGAATCTGACCCATCTGTTTCATACTTGGATATTTTACTTGATAAAGACGTTAATGGTAATCTAACAACTAATCTCTATGATGAACGTGATGACTTGAACTTTTCTATTGTCAACTTTCCTTACTTATGCAGCACTCCTTCATCACCTGCATACGGAGTTTATATATCTCAGTTGATTCGATACACAAGTGTTTTATGGACTTAGATATTGAATACTGTTTGTTATCTCCATATCCTTAAATCAATGTAAATTGGAAGGCAAGCCAAATTGATAATTGTTATTTCTTATCAATATAAAACTTATTTATGAATGGTTACTTCGTGAAACATAGTGTCAGAAGTATTGAATCTTTATGGTTAGTCAAACGTCTATATCGCTAAACATTTGTTACAATTGCTCAAATATTGAAAAATCTGTTTAGTTTCTTTTTGGGCCGCATTTCCTCTGTCGTGAAAACCATTGCCTGAAGAGAATGGGCATGTACTAGCGACTTCTGCTGCAATACAAAATTTACTTGTTTTCCTATGAATATACCATTTCCTTAACCAATATCTTTGATTCATATATAAAGACTAAAAAAATACATGTATTGAAAAATTGATAATGCACTTGACACTTACTATGTTGGTCAAACAAACGTCATTTATTTAACTGTAGAAATCAGAAACAGTCTGAACATATCGATGCATATGTCGCAGTTTAGCGTACACTACTGAAAACATGCATGTTAAATGGGGATATTGAGGATGAGATGGTAAGGGATAGTATTGTTATCAGAGTTCGAGACAACCATACCCGTAAATCTTTTTTACAGGAGAAAAATTTAGACCTTTATTTTTGCATAGATATATACCGGTCGAATGAGAAATCTGAATCTCAACTCGAATCCATTGCAGATTTTGACCATGTCAAGGTCAAGCAGAGAGTGAAACAAGACTAGAGCAAAGCTCGTTGCAAAACAACGAGTAGGTCTTCCGTCCTGTTTGACTGGAAGTAGATTTCATTTTTCACAAAAATGAGAAATAACGCCCAAAAATGCTTTGGATTCTCTAAAGCTATGTTAATTAATGCAAAAATCATGCCATTTTTTGCTACCTTCCGGTTTGACCGGAAGTGACGACGACGAACGGAAATTAATTTTTAAGCTCCCAGAGACATATGTTACCCAAAAACTTGTCAAAAACGGCAAAAATACACGTTTCCCGACTACTTCCGGTTTGGCAGGAAGTGACAACGCTGGACGTATTTTGACGACTTCATTAGATTAAGCTTGACATTTTCAACAACTTTGCTTCTTTGATGTATAACAAATTCTCAATACTTTTTGAGATATCTGGAAAAAAATTTGGGCCCCTCTAGATCCCTTAATTTAGGGGTCAGCCCTTTTTCCGACATATCATTTGAAAGATCTTCTAATTCTGCACAAATTATGTTCTATATATTTTAACAAAATATTTTTAGTTCATGAGATAAAATAGCAAAATAGGTGAGCAGTTTTGGGCTCTTTTAAGCGTTCTAATTTTTGACCCCTATATAGCGCCATTTTGAATAGAGAAATCGAAAAACAAAAACCGATGTGCACAACTTCAGTCCTTCTATTATCTAAAATCAGTAGAATTTCTGCTCCAGCTTAAGCCGTCTCTGAGCCTTTGTCTGGAAACGAAAGCCTATAAATTTTCGTTTAAAGGGAAATAACTCAAAACCGGAAGTGACTTTTTGAAATTTTAGTCAGCATTCTGATAGAGTTTATAAACGTCTGTAACCTTTGAAAATTTGAGCAAAATCCGTTGAGAAATGAGTGAGATATGAGGCCTCAAAGTTGCGGTCTAGGAAGCAGAGGAAAAAAAAGAATAATAATCTTTACCAACAGAATCAGTAGAAGGTCTTCCGTTGGAAACGGAAGACCTTAATAATCGTGGTATAAATTAGAAACGTAGAGACAACCACACACAATTAATAAAAATGATTCAGTCTTGTCGTTTCTGTGGGAGAGCTTACAGTTACTAAGGTTTTATGACTGGGGTATGGAGTAGCATCATATCAATGTCTGTGGCGGGTCTGACAGGATATCATTGTGAATTTTTCAACTATTCCCCCATCTGCCATTTAAGACTGAGGGTATTGGTTTGTAAAAAAGGAAATTTTACATTGTAATACAAAAATTTATGGTGTCAACTTTCTTTGTTTATTTTGAATGTTCATTTGATTATACAGATAAAACATCAGATGCTAAGCAGTCAGGTCAAATTATATCGTGAGTGTAAGCGATTGCAACAGTTAACACAAAGTTAACGTTGGTTTCTTTTCTAACCATTGGCTTGAGATTTGGTATCAATGTTCATAACAAAATTTATTGATGGTAGTTTACTGTATACAGGGAATTTTTCGCCCCTTTTGCCCTCTCCTTGATTGGGCGAATTTAAAACGGGGCGAATTCAAATAACACAGCATAATTTCTTACACAGAACTATGACTGGGCGAATTTAAACTAGGGGAAAACTGTTCACAAGTTCAAAAGGGCGAAAATAACCCTGTTTACAGTATCTTGCAGATTGGTCAGAGTGTAGCAACATGCTAAAAGTTTTTGATAAAGGTCTTCATCAGAAGTCAATTAAACCAAATGACATTTCTAAATCCTGTTATTTTAGCAGACCATCATACATACAAAGATTCAAATCACATTTATATATATAAATGGTTAATGGTGGTTGCACTGTGTGTTCATTTTTAGGTTTATACGCAGTACTAGATATTAATAGATTCAGCTACTGCTCTGCATATCTCCTAGTGGAATTTTCCATGCGCATTGGTTATTTTATTTGTAAACATTGGCTGCATTCATTATCTAAAAGAAACACGGAAAATATCCCAAAAGCTTATTTTATATGGAATTATCCCCTAAAGGATTATTATTTTATTGAGGATTGTGTCTTACAGAACGTTTTTAACAGGTGATTTGTTCGATTCGGAGCCTATTAATGTCTTAGAACCTAACCCGCTTTTTCCTCCAATCAGCAGCTGCTAAATTTTCTATTAAGTTGATCACTTAATTGTTAAGATTTTATGTCTATGCAGTAACTCCGCGCGCTGACTTATTAGCCAATGAAAATAGGTTCTAAGTAAGTTAGATCATATTAAGTAAAATTTTAGTGGTTAATAAGAAGGGCTCGATCGCCTTGCTCCCTCCGCCCCTTCTTAACCACTAAAATTTTATTTAATATGATCTAACTATTACATAAGGCGAATAGCGTTACTTCGTCTTCCAGTTTGCACATCGCTGTAACCTGATATCCACAGCGCATCGTTAAGTACAATCTCCAAGATGCATATTCTTTATGTTGGTGACTCACGTGTACGCAGATTTGGAAACTTTGTGAATGGTAAACCTCCCGCTGAAACGTTTAATATAAGAAACTTGGGATTGTTTGAATTCTATGATATTAGTGGCGGATCAATCGGCAATCGCACACACACCCGCGCCATACTGCTGCGGTTAGAGATAAGCGACCACAGCATGTCATTGTGAATTTAGGAGGCAACGATCTAGATTCCTCTGAGGACATTGACTGTATCGTAATGAGATTGGTTTCATTTGTGTCACTACTTAAGAGACAATTCAACCTCAAAAGCGTGGTGATTATGAGTTTTATTCCCCGGAATCGAACAAGAAATATCAGCCCTTCGGAATACACTCGTTGAGTGGATCAGGCTAATCGCTTGTTGAAGACTTGCGTAACACAAGATGACATGCACTTTTGGAAACTGAAAGGTTTAACCTGTAGCAGGAATAACGTTTTATGTGAGGGAGTCCATTTAAATAATCTTGGACAGTACACAAACTCTTAGGACAAATTAGGATAATTCTCCTTCTGTTATCCAGGGATCACTAATTACCCTTGAAGACAGAGGCTTCTCGGGTACACAGGCGCAAAATACAAATTATGTGTTCTGGTTAACATTTTAAGGTTCTTTAACTTTTTATTTTCATGATCATCATGCATACAAAATTTAATTAATAATAAGTAGTTTAAAAATTTTATGGTTTATATTACATGATAATTTCATGAATCGTTCATATTTTTGCACCTTTTGTTAAGCATATTCAGCAATGTTTACAATTCAATTATTTTCGTTACAGCAGAAGTTTGTGTCCTAGGGTGAATCTTCATCCGTGGGTTCCAATATTGTTTTTATTTGACCTGGAAGGTAAAGAGTTTTTTGGCTACCTATTTCTGTATGACGAAAAACCTAATGATTTAGCCTTAGTCATTTCTTTGGTCTAAATCATTCATGTTCTAACTGCTTAATTATTTGGCAGTAACAACTTTTATTTATGCTTCAAATAGAGGCACCACAAATGGTGGCCAATGCCAATATATGAACTATAATTAGTTCACCACACTGCTTCGGCAGATTGTGGTTTTATATGATTGAACCATTCTGCTTCGGCAATATGGTTTTTTATATGTATATGATCATGATTTGTTACCACACTGCTTCGGCGAATAGTGGTTATATATGATTCAACCACACAGCTTCGGTATATAGTGGTGACATATATATTATTTTATGATTTGATATCACACTGCTCTAGCAGTTCGTGATTTTATATGATTCATCCACACGGCTTCGGCCAATTGTGGCAAAATATGTACACACATATATTTATATAATATAATACTTTATTTATCAATAGTAAACAAAAGATATGATTTTTAACCATATATGCAGTTAATTTTCAATAAACGCTGATTGGTGGCACTCGTTACAATTGTTTCTAATTACCACCTTATTTATGACTATAAATTTTCTTAGGATGGCATCAAGACCAAAACGAAGAAGGACCTCTTCCAAACGTCAGGATCCACCTACAACAACGACAACGTCAGAGACGAGAAGCGAAGACGTTAGTACCATTTTTCAGAAATGCATGTCGAAGATCATGCCGACGATCGAGGAGACGTTTAAAACGTGTATGGAAGATTATTTGAAGTCCAAGTCTGCATACTCGCCTCCGCCACCAGGGCCACTGGAACCAAGTACGACGTCCCCAGCACCTACACTCCTTAGCGAGGTTACAGGTGATCAATCTCTAGATAGTACGAACAAAGATTGTGTAGTTAACTCAGATCCCCCCAGGCTCTATCTGCCTTGTCCTTAACGTATGCGTAGATCAAAAAACACGGGCAGATTCAGAGTGATCAGTACGTCAAATTTGTGTGACCGTGTGAAATGAGCAGATTTCGAGTCACAATTATATTTTTTTGATAGTGCTAAGTAAAACATAATTAAATACTGTGACCGCAAGACATTTGATGCCACCTGTGCTTGAGTGAACTTGTTAATTATTATTGAAATACTTTAATTATGTCCATCTGTTTAGAGCAACTCTTCATTTTAATTGTTTATTTCATCATTGTTATAAAATGGCTGTTTCATACATGATCTTCAGTTGGAAACTGGACCTTGCACTGTCCACTTCGACATACCCATCGTGTAATCACCAAGTTTGGATCGTTATAATAAATTATTAAACGAAGCACCGACTTGTGTATTTCTACCGGTTATATTTGGTGGAGATTCCTAAAGGTAATTTACCCAGGGCTACTGTATATACTTTGTAGTAGTTTGATCCCAGTACTCTCATACAACTAAGCGACTTCATACCAGAACTTCCCTAATCATGGACTTATTTCCATTTGTTCCTGCTTGGATGCGACCAGTCCAACCGCGCTTCACCTTGCAACAATGTGAACGCTGCGGATTAAGACACGGCTGGACCGTTTGCAACGCACCGACGTCATCATGTTTTAAGTGTGGAAGAAGAGGACACTATGCTTGGATGTGTAAAACACGGACTACCCGTACCATCTGTGCCGTCTCTTCATTACCGACGCACTCAGTCGAAACACAGACTGACAAAACGTGTACGGTGCGAAGGAAGTCAAAAAGAAAGCAAACCAGAAACAGAGAAAGAATAATATAATTTCGGACAACCCACAAAGAAAAAGAATTTTAAGTGAAATGCCTTTCTCTTCAGTAAGTGTCGTTGAAATTCATGCTGAAACTTTGAAAACACAAGCTGAACAGTTCCGGGAACAGGCGGCTCTCTACAAATCGGATGTTCGACTTTATAAAAACAAATGGATGTGCGAGCGGAAAACGTCTCATGTTCGACTATCAGAGAAAGACAAGACTATCACAGAACTTCAAGAAAAACTTGTAGCTGCGTCCACTGAGCTTGAGGAGTCGAAGAAAGCTATAAAAGCTATATCTGACCTAGAGTTTTCAAGCAAAGACCAAAAATCACAGATTTTTTCCCTGCTAGAGCAAAACAAGCATGCTGAACCATTTCTTGCCTATAGTAGAGCAATTTACAGTAGTCCGCCCCGTGGAGGTCGAAACCAGCATTCAAGAAATTCAAATATTGCCAGAAGAGCTCCCACTAACAGTAGACAAACTTCGAAACACGAGGACGTGTTTCGGGGGGCGACGGGGTACTGTGACCGTGTGAAATGAGCAGATTTTGAGTCACAATTATATTTTTCTTTTGATAGTGCTAAGTAAAACATAATTAAAGACCGTGACCGCAAGACATTTGATGCCACCTGTGCCTGAGTAAACTTGTTAATTATACCCCCGCTTGAAAAGCGGGAGGGTATATAGTAATCGTTAATTCCGTCCGTCCGTCCGTCTGTTACGCTTTGGGGTACCCATCTCTTATCCGTAACTCCTCTCATACCACTGAATGAAATTTGATGAAACTTTCACAGAATCTTCATGACATATTGCCATTGTGCACCTCCTATTTTACTTTTGATTCGACACATATTTTGGGTTTCTTGGCCACAGCAAAACATGGACTTTGCCATTATAACTATATGGAAGCGGGGGTTATCATTTAGTGAGCTCATCGCTCACAGTACCTCTAGTTATTATTCAAATACTTTAATTATGTCAATTATGTCCATCTGTTTAGAGTAACTCTTCATTTTAATTGTTTATTTCATCATTGTTATAAAATGGCTGTTTCATACATGATATTCAGTTGGAAACTGGACCTTGCACTGTCCACGCCGACATATTGATCGTGTAGTAAACACCAAGTTTGGATCGTTATAATAAATTATTAAACAAAGCTCCGACTTTTGTATTTCTACTGGTTATATTTGCTTACTAATTGGCAGAAATGCGAGTGAAAATGGAACACATAAAGCTCTGAGGAAATTTTCCTCCGATTTCCCGGATAATTCAGAATGCACCGTGCGTAACTTTAAAACAAAATATGTCAAAGCATTAAATGAACGAAAGAGAAAACTTCACACTACTAAAGATTGTGTTGTTCTAGAAATCCCGCCTCTAAAACAAGTAAAATGGTGGTGTTTCTAAACACCATTTTAAAAAAAGCTTTAAAGCTGAACACTTCTCATAAATAGGCACTGTCAGACGGGTATATAAACCGTTCGCTTTCGTTACACCCGATTGCACACTTGAAACTCGTGGCCAAAATGTAGTACTCCTATCGTGGTCTTAGATTTTTTTGCGTTTATTTCTTGTTCTTATGTGCATTTTCTGCTTGTAAATAATGTATTGACCTGTATTTTCCATGATACTTTTGTCCTGTTTTGGAAAAAATACATAAAATTTGATAATTTCATCGATATTGAGTAGCACACTTTGTAAGATATACGTCTGCATCGTCAGATCTCTATTAGTAAAATACATTGAACTGACTAGCGCTCTGCTCCTTATATACGAGTTGTAGAGAAAGCGTTGAAGACCGAGAAATATGGCGGACTATGCCTATTTACGAGTAGTGTTCAGCTTTAATCATGTGAAAATACAACTATGCATAGATATACAATGGCAAAATAGGTACAGATTTTATGGTGTAAAATTGTATACAGGGAAACAGATTTTTACTGCAAGGGCGAGGTATGTTTGTAATAGAGAAATTTACATTATTGGTACTAAAGAAATTTTAAATGATATTTCTTTCAATGAAAGTGAGGCAGCAACTATTTCAAGTTCAGTATTATCTTTTTAGCTCTTCTGAGCCAAAGGCTCAAAGAGCTAATGCTATGACCATTTGTGCGGTGTGCGTTAACTTTCTAGAATATGGGCCATAATTCAAAAACCCCTTGGCCAATCAGTATCAAATTTGTCACAGGGTATCCTTGGCACAAGGGCTACCCTTTATACTAAAATAAGGGTTGAGACCCTTAAAAAGGGGAGATAATCAGGAAAACATAACCAAAAGTATTGGTTGCTAAAATATCTTCTCCAGAACACCGGGCAGATTTTCAACAAACTTACATATAAGGATCAGGATATGTTGAAGATTAAAAATAGTTCAAGGCATCACCCTGGGGCAAAGGGTGTGGTCTCAAGGTCACTTCAAAGATGACCTACTGTGACCTACTTTTGTCATTTAATGGCTTTATTTAAGTATCTACAGTACTTATTGGCTTAGAATCATCAAATTTCATCAGTTGATGCATCTTGGGTTTTCGGAGAATGATGTCACGGTTACCTTATTTTTGACATTTACTGGCTTTATTTAAGTATCTATGGTACTAACTGGTTTAGAATCATCAAACTTTGTTTGTTGATGCATCTTGGGTTTTTAGAGAATGTCGACCAAAAAGTAGGTCATGGTGACCTACTTTTGAATATCTCAGGTACTTATTGGCTTAGAATCATCAAACTTTGTCAGTTGATTTATCTTGGGTTTTCAAAGAATTTAGACAAAAAAGTAGGTTACGGTGATCTACTTTTATATATCTTCAATACTTATTGGCTTAGAATCTTCAATCTTTGTCTATTAATGCATCTAGAGTCCTCAGAAAACTTAAAGGTCACTGTGACGTACTTATGTTATTTATAGCGTTATTATTAAAAATATCCTCAGTCCTAATTGGCTAAGAATCATCAAACTTTGTCATTTGATGCAACTTGGTTCTTAGGATACTTAGGGTTAAAGGCTTCAAATAGAAGTGATAGATTGTACAATTTATCAGAAGAGCGATTGAAGGCCCTTGGGCCTGTTGTTTGACTAACACAAGAAATCTGTGAGCCAATGCTCACTAGTAATACCCCCGCTCTGATGTAAATAAACACAGCTATCATGTTAATGAACACATGTTCAGTTACAGGTAGATGCACAGAAAAATTTGAAGTTGACGTTAGATTCATATCAAAATTCCACCATAATGGTATGCCTCAATACAGAGTGTACTAAAATTAAGCATCTGCTATGCATAGTTAATGAGGAAACTGCGACGAAAATTTGTTATGTATGAAACAGTCGGATGCACAGACAAATAGAAAGTTGACATCGAACTTTAACAAAAATGTATCCCACCATATGGCATGCCTAAGGGAAAATTGTATTAAAATTTCAAGCGATGAGAAAATCCGAGAAAACTGCAACGAAAATTTGTTATGTATGAATTGGACGGAAACACAGACAAACAGGAAATTGACATCGGATTCAAACAAAAATGTATCCTATCGTAGGGCATGCCTCAGAAAGATTCTGTTAAGATTTTAAGCTTCTACAGTGAGTAGTTGCCGAGAATTCTGCGACGAAAATTTGTTACAGACAGACTGACACACAAGGCTAAAACAGTATACCCCCTCTCCTTCGGAACGGGGGGGGGGGGAGGGGTTAAAAGTGCCACTTAGTAAGTTAATAACATTTTAAGCGAGAGGAGATACCTCATGAGGTTTAATCATTTAAATGTATTGTACACCATCTGATACAATTTTCTGATGTATGTGTAGAATAAGCTTTTAATATTGAAAAAAGAATTGCATGTTTTTCTTGTACCAATTATAAAAATTTATCGAAAGAAACTTTTATCTTGTGTGTTTTAAAATTCGTTTCAAAATAGCATTGAAAGTTCTATTTTAAACTCTATTAAGTTTCAGCTTTTCTGGCCAAGTACTACTCGGCCACTAGAAAACTATTAAAACCAGTTCTTAAGAG